TTCAGGGTTAGTCCTAGTTAGAACTAAAAGCCACACTACTGAGTTCAAATTTTGGCATTGTCATTCACTAGCCTTTAAGCAAGTCCCTTAACCTTGCTGAGCCTCAGTTTTCTGGTCTGTAAAATGGGGATGACAACAGTATCTATCTTGTTGGGTTGCTATTGGAGTTAAATGAGAACGCCAAAGTGAGATGTCCAGCACAGTGTACAGCCCAGGTAGGTTCAATAAGTGTGGAATATTAGTATCATAGCCTTATGCCCTGGGACTTTTGAGTGGAAGGCAGAGTCTTGAGGTTCTACATTGGGAAGGGGCCCCATTGGAGGTCCTCTGGATAACAGGAAGACCTGATGTGGCAGAGCACTTGCCCAGAGTGCCACGCCACCTAGTGGCTGGTATGTGGAACCATGCCAAGCTTTTCTGCCACCTCGCAGCTGAGGTCAACCACCCAGCTTGCTGTAGCTTCCACTCTGCCTCCTGCCCAGTGGCAGCCTCTTCCTTGCCCCACTGTCCTGGGAGCCTAACTAGCTTGGCATCCACCCTGGCACTCCCCTCCAGGTTTATAATCAAATAGGTGACTCAGATCAGCTTTCCTAGCAGGGAGACCACGTGGCACAGAGGCAAGAGACAGGGAGAAGCTTGGGGAAAATAGCTCTTTCAATGACTACCAATTACAGTCTGATATTCTCAAGGGGTCACTTGCTCCTCAAACTAGGGAAAGGACCTTTATTACTTCCTTTCCTGATCCTTCATCACTCATTCATTTCAGTGAATGAATTCCAATACACTCATGAATTCATTGACTTATTCAATATTGAAATGTTTTCCAAATACCATGTGCTCAGGTTCAGGGATGATTACCAGAGATTGATGTGAATATTTTCTGTAAAAGGTCAGCTAGTAAATATTTTCAGTTTTTTGAGTCAATCTCTTCAGCTTTTCTAGCAAGCAAATAGTTGTCGATAACATGCAAACAAGAGGTAGGTGTGGCTGTGTTCCAGTAAACATTTTTTTTTTTGTAGACATTGAACTTTGAATTTTATATAATTTTCAATGGCCATAAAGTATTCTTTTTTTAAAGGAAGGGATAGTGTCTTTTATTTTTTCCACATTTTTATTGGTGCATTATAATTGTATTGATGGGAATTGTTACATATTTGTACATGTACACAATATGATAATGTAACTTGGCCAGTATCACTCCTCAGTACTTTCCCCTCCCTCCCAATCTCCCATTTCTTGCCCATTTTGCTCTTCTGATCTCCCTTTGATTTTTTAGGAGATCCTCCCCCAATTTCTTTTCCTTTTACCTCTCTAGATTCTTCATGTAAAGAAAACACACAACCCTTCACCTTCTGAGTTTGACTTATTTTGCCTACCGTCATGGTCTCTAGTTCCATCCATTTCCCTGCAAATGCCATGATTTCATTTTTCTTTATGGATGAATAAAATTTCATTGTGTATACCACATTTTCTTTATTCATTCCTCCTTTGATGTACACCTAGCATGGTTCCATGGTTTGGCTATTGCGAATTGTGCTGCTGTCAACATGAGTATACATATATCCGTGTAGTAAGATGACTTTAATTTTTCAGGATAAATACCAAGGAATGGTATTGCTGGGTCATAAGGTGGTTCCATGCCTAGTCTTTTGTCTTATTTTTTTTTTTACTTTTTTCCAACCATTTACAAATGTAAAGACTATTGTTAGCTGACATGCTAAAGAAAACAGGCAACAGCAAATGGGCCATAGTTTGCCACTCTAAGCTGCAGCATCCTCTGCACATAAGACCAGGTGTGGGCTGCACCCAGTTTATGCCAATATAGAGTCCAGGCCTCTGGAGCCTCCCAGGGAGGAGGGAGTTGATGCCCTCAAGCCCATCACAGCTTAACCATTGCAGTCTTCCTAAACTTTATCCTCTCCATGCCACATCTGTTAATCTGGGGGCTATTAGATCTCCTTTAGGACCAGAAGCTTTCTATGACGGCAGGAATATTACTGTTGAAGCACTTGGAATCAGAAAGGACCTGGGTCCTTGACCATCTCTTAGCTGAATTGTCTCAGGTAAGTTGCATAATGTCCCTGTGCCTCAGTTCCCTCATGTGTAGCACCTCTCAGGTTGTTGAGAGGAGATATGTGTGTACAGTGCCCAAACAAAGCCTGATGTTGAGTCAGTGGTTAGTGCTTGTGGACTTTCCTCATAGTTCCTTCTCTACTCATTCCAGAATCCAGCAGCATGGCTCTGAGCCCAAAGTGCCTACGCAGCCCTTCCTTCCTTGCTAAATCTCAATTTCCAAAATATAAGAACAAGGTCCCTGATGTTTTGCCCAGGAGTCCTCAACATCTGTACTCTAGGCTCCTGAGAGACATAGTCTTTGGATTTAGCTTAGACCATTTCCCTCTGGCTTCTTTGCCTCCAGCAAAATGATCCCTAAACCATCCCTCAAGGATACCCAGTCTTTGGAGTGTGTACACATGAAGAGCTCTTGGCTGGTTCTGTTCCAAGGATGAGTTGTGAAGGAGGAGGCTACTTGGCTGGGGATAAAGGGAAGAGGAGGCCCATTTCACACACCAGGCTGTAGTCCAGGAGTGGTCAGGCTGCCCAGGTCAAGATCTTGAGCATCTCAGCCACTGCAACATATACTTTAACCCTCCAGAGCTTTCTCTACTCTCCAGATATATACTTCTCTTCTAGGCAGGTGCCCAGCTTGCAGTCCCCTTTCCTTCCCTCCAAGAGCCTGTTACCTTATCTGGTTTCATTATTTCAGAGCACTTATACCTATGTGAAGTTTTATAATTTCTTCTTAGATTTATTTTCAGTCTCGCTTCCACTAGAATTTAAGCTCCTTGAGGGCCAGGGATGTTGGCTATAATCCTTGCAACAATCCTTAATGGACAGATTCATTCATTTTCCTTCTCTCTCTCTCTCTCTCTCTCTCTCTCTCTCTCTCCCCTCCCCCTTTCCCTCCCTTCCTCTCTCCCTCTCTCCCTCTTTAAATCAATGTACACACCAAGGTCATCCAGTTAATGAGTGGTAGAATGAGGATTCAAGGTCAGGTTTATCTAACGATCTAAAGTTCACATTCTGTGCCTCCACACTCAAGGCAGAGTTCATTCCACCCAGAAAGATGAGAATATATAAGCTTTGAGCCACATAGTGTCCAGTAGGAGTAGTGATAGTGATGTGACAGGAGGCATTTATGGGAGACTTAGGAGTGTACTCTGACAATACCGAAGGAGGCAAAGTCAAATGGCCTGACTCTTGCTATCTTTCAGCTCGTGGACTCATTAGATAGAGACATATATTCTCCATCTCTTCACTCTAATACAGATAGTACTAAGAGATACACAGGGGTACACAGTGTTTTGGGACACTGTTTTAGTGTTTGACTAGCTGTAACAAAAAAACATAGACTAGGTGGCTTAAAAACACATGAATTTATTTTTCATAGATCTGGAGGCTAAAAGTCTAAGATCATGGCCCCAATCAATTCAATTCCTGGTGAGTGAGTGCCCTCTTCCTGGTTTGTGGATGGCCACCTTCTTGCTTTATCCTTCCAAGGTCTTCAGAGAGATCGTTTCCCTCAAGTGTCTTCTTCTTTTTAAAATATCTTTTTAGTTGTCAACAGGCCTTTATTTTTTATTTGTTTATTTGCGGTGCTGAGAATTGAACCCAGTGCCTCACACATACTAGGCAAGTGCTCTGCCCCTGAGCCACAACCCAGTCCTCAAGAGTCTTTTTATAAAGGCACTAATCACATCATGAGGACTCTACCCTCCCGACCTAATTCCCTCCCAAATGCCTTCCTAATACCATCATATTGGGATTCAACTTCAACATAAGAATTCTGAGTGGACACAATATTTAGCCCATAGCAAGCACTGACTCTGGATAGTCAGAAGCCAGAGAAGGGAAAGGGGGATAGGAAGGCAAGGGATACTGTCAGGGAAGCACTTTGGGTAGAAGGAGGGCCTATCTGAAAACTGGTAAAGGCTCCCAATGGCTAGAGTCTACAGTATACTGGAAAAGGGCAGTGAGGGAATGAAAGACAGTGAGAAAGTTGGTTGGGGCCAAATCATGGAAAGCCTAAAAGAAATTATTAGAAGACTAGGTTTCCTAGAGCCTGCCTTATGGAGAATAATACCAACAGAATACAACAGAACAACAGCTGATTGTGTATGTTAGTAACTCTATATTTTACAAAGCATTTCTGGTTCATTCATCCACTCTGAACTCTTCTTTATTTATTTACTTTTTTTTTTTTTTCTTTTGCTGTACTGGGGATTGAACCCAGGGCACTTTACGGCTGAGCTACATCTCTGGCCCTTTGACTTTTTATTTTGAGACATGTCTTGCTAAGTTGCTGAGGCCGGCCTCTAATTTGCCTCCTCCTTCCTCAGCATCCAAAGCAATAGTTCCTAACATGCAAGCAAGTTCAGTAAGAGCATGAGGTCCAATTTACAAGTTGCATAGATTTGAACAAGTCATTCACATTTCCAAGGCTCACTTTCTTCATTTCTGGCAGCAGGATCCAATTCTCAGAGCTTTGGGAAAGATTTCACAAAACCAAACACATCGAACGTTGTCTTTAACTTCTGGTCCACAATTTTTTCTCGGCAAAATTCCTGTCCGGCCTAATTTAAGGGGGCTGTGGATGCGACTGTGTAAGGCAAAAACCTAAGGCAAGAATCTGATGAACCAAACCGGTGAGCAGATTGTTCCCCGTTTGGCCGATAGGGCTAAAGAAGTTAGTATTTCTTGGTTGTCTGAGAGCCTCAGAGAAAGGGCTTTGGATACTCTGTAACAGCATCTTTTAATACTGGCCACAGTGTTTTATTTATTTGGGACAGAGAGAGAGAGAGACACCGGGAAAGCCAACAATCGCACTCACAAATCTAAGGAGCTCGCGGCGCAAGCGCGCTAGCTGACCGGAGCCGAAGGGCCGCACCTTCTCTTGTCCCGCCCCCACCCCTCAAAGGCACCAATCAGCGAGCGAGCCGCTGCGTGACGCTATCTTCCCGCGGCAAAGCGAGCTGCGGCGGCGCTTCCGGCTGACCGAGCCGAGGTACCGAGGTTATGGGCAGTCAGGAGGTGCTAGGCCAGGCGGCCCGACTGGCTTCCTCCGGTCTCCTCCTGCAGGTATTCTCTGTCGGGCTGGTCCCAGCCCGTGCCAGCCAGCATTCGTGGGCAGACGGCCCTGGGGCAGACCCAGCCTCGAGGTGGAGCCCGCTTTGGAGTGGGTCAGCTGGAGACAGGTTGCGGTGAGGTGGCATCTGGACAGGAGTTGGGAGCCCGCGTTAAGAATCTTGACAGAGCAGTTGCAAACAAACCATTGTATTTCCCATTTGGTAGTAGGAGAAAATTTAATCAAGTGCTGAGAGTGAGACATTTCATACTGGAGAAACCTATTTTTAAGACAAGGGATTCATTTCCTCTGTATCTCATCCCTGACCTTCAAACACTTTCTTCTAGCTTTCTGACTCCCACTGAATTTAGACTGTATGGTATAGCCAAGAACAAGGATGTGGGTTCAGGCAGGCCTAGAATGGGACATGTACATGCTGTGTAACCCAGGACAAGTGACTTCATCCTGAGCCTCAATTCCTCATGGATAGAATGGGGACGATAATAATAGCTAGCTCATAAGGTAGTTTCAAGGGTCGATTGGGATCATTTAATAAATGCATTTAACACAGTATCTGTGTCTTAGAGCCGTGCACCTAATAAATATTGGCTGCATCTTTCTTCTGTGTGACTTTGGACAAGTCACTCCCCCTTCTTGGCTCTAATTTTTCTCATTTGCCAGGTTTGATACATGTCAGTCATCCAAGTGGTGTCTAAATATTCTTTCAATCCTAGGAACTAGTTATTCTAAGTGATTTAATTAATTCCTCTGTCTCACTTAACCATACTTCACCCAAGTCCTGAATCCACCCTCTCCATTATCTTAAAGAGGCAAATGGAGGTTAGGAGAAAGAACCAGGCTGACTTGGGCTCTATTTTGGGTCTTGTCAGTTCTTAGATGCCTGCACTTGAGAAAATTGCCTGACATTCTCTTGAGTATAGATTTGCTCCCCCCACTCCCCACCCCCACCCCCATCTTTTTTTAAATGAACTTGGGACTGAGCTACTTAGGCCTCACTAGCAGCGTTGAAATCATATGCAACTATTCTTTTTGCAGTGCTAGGGATTGAACCCAGGGTCTTGTACATGCTAAGCAAGCACTATACCACTGAGCTGTACCTCCAGCTCCAGTTTTCTCATTTTAAATGAGAACAGTAATGTAACTTCACAGGTTCATTAAGAAGATTAGATGAAATCATGCCTGCTAAGTGCTAAGCACATTACAAGTACTTAATAAATGTTAGCTACTTTTATTGGGGTAATGTGTTTTAAATGGTCAGTGTAGGATTGAGATAAGAGAATTTCCATGAAGCATGTAGAAGAGTGCTTTGCACATGATCTATGCTTAATGTTAGCTTCTCTTCACCTCCCTGTTTACCTAGTTGTTTGTTTTTCTATTTCACAGTAAAAATAACTGAGTTCAGCACTTCTAAGACAATATTGATTTTTACACCTTTGATTAAGCTTTACTACCCATGTTGGATTTATAAGAAGAAAACAAGTTATAACAGGAAATTCTCCTATACTAGGAGTTAGGTGGCCTGCCTTTAGGGTGTGGCTGGTCCATTTACCTGCTGTGTGGCATGGGGCAAATCACTTCACTTTGAGTCTTACTTGCTTTTGTGCATTTACCTGGTTGTTTTAACAGGTCAAATAATTAGCAGATGTGAAAGAGCTTTTTTTTGTGCAGTGCTGGGGATTGAACCCAGGGCATCTCACATGGCAGTTGCTGTATCACTGAGCCACACCCCATTCCCAAAGAGTGTTTTTTAAAACTGTAATTTCCTTTATGCAAATAAATGGAGACGGTTGTTAGTAAGGGCCACTGTACGGGGCATGTAGTGGGTAGCATGAGTGACCTCAGTGTCATTTGCTTAAGTCTTGATCCAAACCAATTAGGAGATATGGATATGAACTGAAATCTTAAGTTTCTTGGATAATAACTTTGAAGTTAATATGTGTTTATATGGTTTTTTTTAAAAAATAGTCATAATTTTAAGTTTTTTTAAATTTGTTTTTGTTTTTAGATACTAGGGTTTGAACTCAGGGCCTCACACCTGCTAAGCTAGTCCTGTACCAATGAACTACATTCCCAGCCTTTTTTAGGTTTCTTGAGTATTTTAATTGGGTCTTATATCCTTTTTCAAATTAGAGTGCAGACACATCAGGTAGCTTTGCAATTACATTTTATTATGCAAGTATTTGAGAGCTTATTCTCTCTTAACTCTGATCCTGACATTCATTAATGCCTTTCATTTGTATGTTTTTCAAAAATGCTTTCACCCCTATAATCTCATTTGATCCTTGCAATCAACCCTTAAAGATACATAGTCTCATTTGACAGAGGAGAAAATGGAGGCTTTTAAAAATTAGAAGTTGATGGCTTTAAGAGCCAAATGGTAAGTTGAGACTCTTGACTGAGTACTTTTTCTAGTAAGGGATCTGTGATTGGTTCCAAATCTCTCACATTAAGTATAGAATTTGGTGTGTATGTATATACCTGCATGTTTCTAAGAAAAGGCTAGAGAACTTTTCATCAAACTCTCAAAAGGTCACCTTTGACTCCATAAAGGTTAAGATGTTAATCTTGACATTGGAAACCTTTGCATTGTGTTAACACTTTGGGGACACTGTTACTGGCCTAGAGGTTTTCAGACTATATAGTATTTTGGCTTCCTTTGATTAAATCTTCCAAATTGCAGCTGTTCACAGATAATCTTAAGAATGCGTAATAGAGAAGTGATTTGTCATTTGCTGCTGCTATGTGGGGTGGGGTAGGTGCATGGGGAGGCGGGGTGGCATCACTTAGTGAGTACAGCTTGCATCCTATCCAGCATCTCCATTTGGCAGCCCCACTGAATGGCAGCCTCATTCTCTGTGCCTCATGGGAAGAATTCTTTGTTTACATGGTTTTCTTGAATTGATAGATCTGAAAGTCTCAGGATATGTGCCAAATGACAGTAGCTGGATTCTGCATTCCCACCCCCATTTTATATTATTATTGCAGTTATTTTTTATTTTTATTTTTTGATACTGGGAACTGAATTAGGGCTTCGAGCTTGCTAGGCAACTGCTCCACTGCTGAGTTACATCCCTAGATCTTATTTATTTATTTATTTGAGACAGAGTCTTACTAAACTGTACAGTCTGGCCTCAAACTTATGGTCCTCCTGCCACAGCCTCTTGAGTAGTTGGGATTGAAGGTATAACAACTGCACCCAGCTGCAGTTGTTATTTAAAAGATATGTTGGCTCAGGGTTAAGGCTGTGTGGCTCAGTGGTAGAGTGCTTGCCTAGCATGTGTGAGGCACTGGGTTAGATTTTCAGCCCCACATATTAAAAAATGAATAAAATAAAGGATCATACATCTAAAAAATTAAAAAAAAAGATACGTTGGTTCAGTTGGTAGAGGGCTTGCCTAGCATGTGTGAAGCACTGGGTTCGATCCTCAGCACCACATAAAAATAAAATAAAGGTATTGTGTCCATCTACTAGAAGAAATATTTTTAATAAATAAATAAATAAAAGATATTTATTTTAATATCAATTTCTTTTCTGGAAAGGGTCAAATATTTAGTAAAGAAATAAAAGTGTGTAGTGGCCAGGCATGGTGATAAATGCCTATAATCCCAGCACTCCAGAAGTGAGTTAGGAGGATTATAAGTTCAAGGCCAGCCCTGGCAACTTAGATTGAATCTCAAAATAGAAAATATAAAAAGGCTGAGAATGAAACTCTTGTAGAGCACCTCGGTTCAGTCCCAATACTGCAAAATAAAAAATAGAAAAGAAGGAAAAAAATAACAGCATCTTGAGAAAAGCAAATTTCGAAGAAATTAACTGACGTTATTAGAATCTCTAGATATTACCAGGCAAAGAAGAAATCGAAATTAGACCTCATAATTCCTAGTGAGTGTGGTATACTCTCAGACTTTCAGTTGCTGAGTGTGTGCTATTTCTGAACAGTCTAGAGGGCCTGGGCTGAGGCCCAGTGAGAATCACTAACTACAATTCTTTTTGCCTCCTAGAGTGTTTGACTTTGAACCTAAAAAAATTTACTGAATCTATTGAGGACACCCTCTTTTCATCAGTAAATTAAGGAGACTCCCAAGTGCTTTCCTGGCTGCTGCTGCTGCTGCTGTTTTGTTTTGGGTAGTGGGTACTGAACCCAACAAGGATGCTTTACCATTAAGCTACATCCCTAGTCCTATTTATTTCTTTGCCAGTTACAGGGGATTGAACTCAGGGGCACTTTTTTGTATTTTATTTAGAGATAAGGTCTTACTGAGTTGCTTAATGCCTCACTTTTGCTAAGGCTGGCTTTGAACTTGTGATCCTCTTGCTTCAGCCTCTCGAGCCACAGAGATTACAGGCATGCACCACTGCGCCCAGCAACTTTTTATTTTTAAAATATATCTTTATTTTATTTTTAGTTGCCGATGGGCCTTTATTTTATTTATTTATTTACATGTAAGTGCTTAGAATTGAACCCAGTGCCTCACACATAGTAGGCAAGTGCTCTACCACTGAGCCACAACCCCAGCACTCCTTTTTACTTTTTGAGACAGGGTCTTGCAAAGTAGCTGAGGCTGAGTCAAACTAGCCATCCTCCTCTGCTTCAGCCTCCTTAGTCATTGGGAATACAATTGTGTGCCACAGTGCCTGGTTTTCCTGGATTCTTTGACTATTGCACAGGATGTTGAGAGACTCCAAAGAATGAAATTTCAGAAGAAAGGCAGACAGACTGAGCTGTTTAAAGGAGAGTCTATGGCAAAGCTGTGGTGTGTCATTACATAACATTGGGAAAAACAACCATGTTGTCCTCATTTTGGCAAAGTAAACATTCCTAACATAGTTTATTCTGTCTTTTTCCTCTTTTTCTACAGGTGTTGTTTCGAGTGATTACCTTTGTCTTGAATGCATTTATTCTTCGCTTCCTGTCAAAGGAAATTGTTGGCGTAGTGAATGTAAGGTGAGAGGGAATGCACTCTGCACTGTCCACAGCTCACATCCCTAGTCAAATATATTTCAAGCTGTACCTGTGTATGGTTTAAATTTTAGAAACATAGATCTTTATCAGAAGCACAGCATTTTAGCAGTGGGCTGAGGAGGAGGTGCAGGGGTGGGGAATGACAGGGCAATGCTTACTTTTAATGGACCCATGGAGTGTTTTCCATTAGCAGCCTCCAAATGCACATTTCTCTGCCAGCTGTTCTGGTTTCCCTGCTCTTAGAACCCAGGAGAAGAGTGGGAGTAATTTGTTACAGACCTTGTCTCAGGTGCAATCCAGTGTTCTTCTCCTGCTGACAGCAAAGGGGGCAGGAATTCTCCAGTTCTGAGGATGTGCGTGATAATGGCAGGGCTGGAGCCACCAACTTCCTTCCCTCCTTAGTGATTTTATAATTGGGATATGGTAACTGGGGGGAGTCTGGGTCCTCATCATTAGGTTTTTAGAGACTCTGGGAAAACTGACTTACTTTGTCTTTTAGACTCAGCTTGTTTCTTCTACTCTCCTCTTTTCTGTTCAAGGACACCCACACATGTTTTATATTCACAAATGACACAAAAATATATTGAAATGATGTGAGGGCTCAGAATAGCTCAGCTTCTCAGGTGTTTCTTCATGTCCTGATAAACAAGACAGTGTGTTCTCGACAGCATTTCATGTCTGGTACTTACTATACACATGGTCTTGGTTCTGTTCTTAGAGTCAAGTGGCAATTCTCAATTTTTGATTGGCATAGGAATCATCTGGGAGCTTTCTACAAAGTAGGGCTGAGGAAGGGTGCTGGAATCTGTATTTTTACAAGTTGTCAGGTGCTTGTGAGGCAGAGACTATATTTTAAGAAATACTGTTTTGGGGCTGGGGTTGTGACTCAACAGTAGAGTGCTCGCCTGTTACATGCAAGGCCCTGGGTTCGATCCTCAGCACCACATGAAAATAAAGGTATAAACAAAAATACTTTAGTTAAAAAAAAAAAAAAGAAATATTGTTTTAAAGGCAGGAAAGAGGAGGGCCAAATGTTAGGTGCTCAGGATTTTTTCCCCATGCATCCTCCCCCATGCATCCTTCCCCAGATTGGCAGGTGCCTGCCTTGACAGCCCTTGTCTGGCCTGTCTCTCTGCTTTCAGCTGCTCTTTGCTAAAGTGCAAGAAGGTTTACCCAGCTGCTGCTCACCTGCAAGGTACCCGAACAAGACCGACTGAGCTGGGTTTCAGTGGCTTCTTCTTTTTTTTTTTTCTCTTTTAAATATTTTTTAGTTGTAGATGGACACGATACCTTTATTTATTTATCTTTATGTGGTGCTGAGGATCAAACCAGTGCCTCACCCGTGCTCTACCGCTGAGCCCCAACCCCAACCCCATGCAATGGCCTCTTAATGGTTGTAAGCCTTACAGCCTGTCTTGAGATTCCTTTGGCCACTACCTCACAGAGCAGAGCCTTGCTTTCCTCTTGCAGGGGCTATCAGGTCACCAAGAGGTTACTTTACTGTGTGGGGTCAAAGACTTATCCTTTTCTTTTTATGGTCAGGACTGTACCTCTGTCCATGGCCACAAAACCTGCAGCTCTTGGGGCTACCGCAACAGTTTCTATCCCAGACTGTAGGCACACACATTCAGGTGTGCCTTATTGGTTCCCAATTCTTATTCAAGTGGATCGGAGTGGTGTGGAAGGGTGGGGTGGGGGTCCTGTAAGAGCTCACTGCCCTCCACCTTACTACCATGGTTTGTGACCAAGATCTTTTCTCCTACCTGTTGCTGAAGAAATCGCAGAAGTTCTGTCTGTGAAAAAAAGTGGAGGCCTTATTGCTTTCTGCTTTTTCTTTACAGATTAACATTGCTTTACTCTACTACTACCTTCTTGGCCAGAGAGGCCTTCCGCAGAGCTTGTCTAAGTGGAAGTACCCAAAGGGATTGGAGCCAGACCCTCAACCTCCTGTGGCTAACGTAAGTTGTGTTTTGCCAGGAGATAAGTTTCAGGAAGGCAAGTGTAGTGAGTGTTGTACTTGAAGTTGGGGGTGTAGTGGTGCATAGTTGTATTCCCAGTGGTTGGGGAGGCTGAGGCAGGAGGATTGCAAGTTCAAGGTCAGCCTCAATAATTTAGCAAAGTCTTAAGCAACTTAGTGAGACCTTGTCTCAAAATAAAAAATAAAAAGTGCTGGGGGATGTGGCTCAGTGGTTAAGCACCTCACTCCTCAGTACAAAAAAAAAAAAAAAGTATGTAAAACAGCAATACTTGCCTGAAGCAGGTTGGGTTTTACAGTAGGGTTTGAGGGACTAGATATGAGACAGAAAGGGGAGAGTGTCTGTTTTGGAGTTGATTCTTCTACCATGCGGCCTGCGCAATGGTTTCATTAATGAGGTTCTAGGCATAAAGTTAGTTAGAATAGATTGAAATAAAACACACAGACTCAGTTACCTTATTTCTATTGCTAGGTCCGAGACAGCTCACCTCTCTGGTTCCCTTCTCTAACCGCCCAGCAGGGCAGCGAGGATTATTCAGGGCTAGCAGGAGAGAGAGAGAGTGAACACGCCGGGGAGTAGCCTTTTATTGGGGAACAAGAGATTCAGGGGAGAATTCCATCCAATGAAGGTTGGGGGGGGACTGCACTCCAAGGTCAGGGTCAGTGATTGGGTCCCCGGGGTCAGTGGTCAGGCACACCCCCACACGGATGGGCTCTCTCATCAGGAAAGGGCCCGGAAAGCTTCAACATAGCCAAAGCGCCTTAGACACTTAACGAGAGTCACCCAATCACGTGTCAGAAATGGCTTCCCACAGATTCTTGCTTTGTTTTCTCTTTGGTTGTCCAGGAGCCAGGAGGAGGTTCTGGTGGGGGTTCCTGGTCAAGATTTTTAGCCCTGATATTATTAACTTTGGAGATTGTTTCTGTTGTTTCTTATCATTACTCTGGACTCCACTTAGCCTGTGACATCTTTTGCCCTATAGTATCTTTTGAGCTCTTAACACTCACTTAGTCTTACTATTTTTTTTTGAAAGCCTTTTTAAGGAATTTTTTCTATCTTTCTGCAATTTTGTTCTATGATTTTAGTTCTGAGTCTTTTAAAAATATTCTCAAAGACCAAGTACATCAGCTAAAAAGTGTAATGGCATTTCTGCAGCTAGATCCCCTCAGGGAAGACTGGTGGTTGTGGTTGTTTCCTAATGCTGCCCTTGCATAATTTCTTATTGCCTCACTGAAATTAATGACTATCATAAGGGTTGATAGGCCTTTATTTTATTAGAGGAATGGCTGTCAATTTCTAGTCATATTTAAGAGCTCTGTGATACACATATGAAAGGATACTGTGCAGTGGACTTTGGGTTATTTGGGGCTCAAGAACTGGTTGTATACTCCAGTCATTCCAAGCATGGACAGCAAGCATCTTCTTTCTGGCAATTTTGCTTACCAAGTTCGTGTAATCCAGTGGATAAGAGTAGGCTTTGGAGTTAGGTCAATATTGAGTCCTGCTTTTGCTCTTGACTATTTATTCATGACCTTGGCCAAATTATTCATGACCCAGAGCTTGTCAGTTCCAGTTTCCTCATCTTCTAAATGGGGGTAATGACAGAGCATCATTGTGAGGTGTCAGTGAAATGAAGGGTTTGCATCATAGTGCCTACGTTCCTTACTAACAGATATTTATTGTGATGGCTCTTTTTATTATGACTGCTTTTTTCTGTTCAATGTTATTATTTTAATATATATTTATATTTATTTTAAATGTGAATGTATCAAAATATGGTTTCTTTTCTTGCTCTTCTAGAGTCCCCCTGGGTGTGTTTTGGTCCTTATTCCTGGGTTGGGTCTGGTTGCAGTTGCTTGAAGTACCTGATCCTGATGTGGTCCCCTACTATGGAACTGGAGTGGTACTATTTGGTCTCTCAGCAGTGGTAGAACTTCTTGGAGAGCCCTTCTGGGTTTTGGCACAAGCACATATGTTTGTCAAACTTAAGGTCAGTATGCCTTCTGCCAATGGGAAATGTGAAGAATAAGGGAAAGCATGGTTTATTAAAAAAAGTTTTTTTTGTTTTTTTTTTTTTAATAGAAACCAGACATGGCTCATGCCTCTAATCTCAGCAACTCAGAAAACTGAGGCAGGACATTGCAAATTCTAGGCAGCCTTAGCGATTTAGTAAGACCTCAGCAACTTAAGGAGACCCTGTGTCAAAAAATAAAAAGGACTGGAGCTGGGTGTGGTGACACATGCCCATAATCCCAGCGGCTTGCGAGGCTGAGTCAGGAAGATTGAGAGTTCAAAGCCAGCCTCAGCAACTTAGTGAGGTGCTAAGCAATTCAGCGAGACCCTGTCTTGAGGTAAAATACAAAAAAGGGCTGGTATGTGGCTTAGTAGTAAAGTATCCCTGGATTCAATCCTCTCAGTACAGGGGAAAAAATGCTTTTATAGGAGAGAATAATTTTCCCAGACTTGGATAGAAAAAACTATTTGCAAAAATGTAATGTGATCAGTTAATTCATTTACTTGAAACTTGTCAGATTGTCTGGGCTAAAGGTTACTTTTGCTATATGATAAATGAAAAACAAATTTGCTAATAAAGAAGTTATTAGTTCAGTCAGAATTTAGGACTCTAAAACATTTCAGATTTTTCTAGTGATTCTATTAGTTGTATACTACTATTGACTTTTCATCTTCTAAAATATATCATTTGGGCTGAGGTTGTGGCTCAGTGACAGATCCATATGTGTGACACTGGGTTCAGTCCTCAGCACCACATAAAAATAAATAAACAACAACAACAAAAATATATATAATTTAATATATCCAAAATGTATATATACTGGGAGTGGTGGCTCATGCCTATAATACCAGCAACTTGGTGTGTTGAGTTAGGAGGATTACTAGTTTGAGGTCAGCCTTGGCAACTTAGTGAGATTCTGTCTCAAAAAAACAAAAATAAGGGGCTGGAGTTGTGGCTCGGTGGTAGAGCACTTGCCTCGCATGTGTGAGGCCATGAGTTGGATCCTCAGCACCACATAAAACAAACAAATAAATAAATAAAGGTATTATGTCCATCTACAACTAAAAATATTTTTTAAAATAAAATAAAATAAAAAGGATGGGAATAAACAGGATAGCATCAAATTAAAAAGCTTCAGCACAGCAAAGGAAATAAGAATGTAAAGAGAGAAACTACAGAATGGGAGAAAATTTTTGCTTGTTACTTTTCTGACAGGATTAATATCCAGAATATATAAAGAACTCAAAAAACAATACCAAAACGCAAATAGCCTATTTAGTAAATGGGCAAATGGAATTAATGGACACTTCTCAAAAGAAATGGCTAACAAATATATGGAAAAAATGTTCAACATCTTTAGCAATTAAGGAAATGCATATCAAAACTACACTAAAATTTTATCTCATTCCAGTCAGAGTGGCAGCCATTAAGAATGAAATTGTCAGGTTCAGGGGCGCACACCCGTAATCTCAGTGGCTTGAGAGGCTGAGGTAGGAGGATCACAAGTTCAAAGCCAGTCTCAGCAAAAAGCAAAGCACTAAGCAACTCAGTGAGACCCTGTCTCTAAAAAAATTACAAAACAGGGCTTGGGATGTGGCTCAGTGGTCGAGTGCCCCTGAATTCAATTCCTAGTATTCCACCCCCCAACACACAAAAAGAATAAAATAATAATAAATGTGGAAGAGGATATAGATAAAAAGGAATACTTTTATTTTTTAATTTTTATTTTTTGGGGTACCAGGGATTTAACTCAGGGTCACTCAGCCACTGAGCCATATCCCCAGCCCTTTTTTATATTTTATTTAGAGACAGGGTCTCACTGAGTTTTTTTTTTTTTTTTTTTTAATATTTATTATTTTTAGGGGTAGGTAGACACAACACAATGCCTTTATTTTTATGTGGTTCTGAGGATCAAACCCGGGTCCCACCCATGCTACGCCAGCACTCTACCACTGAGCCACAATCCCAGCCCTTAATTGAAGCTTTTTAATTTGATGCCATTCTGTTTACTGGCTTTGAACTTGTGATTCTCCTGTCTCAGCCTCCCGGGCTACTGGGATAACTAGTGTGCCATGGCGCCCAGCAGGAATACTTTTACACTGTTGGTGGAATTGTAAATTGGTACAATCATTATGGAAATCAGTATTGCTGTTTCTCAAAAGGTTAGGAATGGAACCACCTATGATCCAGCTATACCACTTCTCAGAATGTATCCTGAAGAATTAAAGTCAGCATGCTATAGCAATACCTACATACCCATGTTTATAATGGCACAGTTCACAATAGACAAATTATGGAACTAGCCTCATTGTCTATCAATAGATGAATGGGTAAAGAAAATGTGATATGTAAACAATGGAATTTTATTCAGCCAGAAAGAAGAATGGATTATGTCATTTGCAGGAAAATGAATGAACTTGAGAACATTGTTTTAAGTGAAATAAGCCAAACTCAGAAAGTCAAGGACTGTATGTTTTCTCTCCTATGTGAAAGCTAGAAAGAAAAAAGGAAAAGAAAGTTGTATTTATGGGTGTCAGGAGGAGGGAAGAAGAAAGGGGAAGGGGAAATACTGGGGAATGATGTTGATAAAATTATATTGTCGTGTCTGTGTATATAAGAATGTGTAACAACAGAAACCACCATATGTATTATTATAATACACCAATAAAAAATATGGAAAAAGAAAAAGGATGAGGATGTAGCTCAGTGTTAGAATGTCTCTAGGTTTAATCCTCAGTACAGAAAAAAAAAAAGTATAAATTTTACAGCATAACATGCAGATGGGCACAGTGGCACATGTCTGTAATCCCAGAGACTCAGGAGGCTGAGTCAGAAGGATCAAAAACTTGATTTTGCAAGGCCCTAAGCAACTTATTGAGACTTTGTCTTAAAAAATAGAAAGTGCTAGGGGTGTGCTCAGTGATAAAGCACCTCTGGGTTCAATCCCCAGTGCCAAAACAAAATATAACATGCTGAAGATTCTTTTTTTTTAGTTGTAGTTGGACACAATACCTTTATTTATTTATTTTTATGTTGTGCTGAGGATTGAACTCAAGGCCTCCCACATGCTAGGCGAGTGCTCTACCACTGAGCCACAACCCCAGCTCCTGCTGAAGATTCTTGAACTTAACATCCAATCCAAGAAGTAAAATATTACCAGTGCTTATGTCCAACCATGCCCTACCCCTCCACCAGGGTAACCACTACTTTGGAGCTTCTGTTTGTCATCTCTTTGCATCTTTCCTTTTTGATCATGTCTATAAAGTGCACCTTTATCATGTGTCTGCAGGTGATTGCTGAGAGCCTGTCAGTAATCCTTAGGAGCATCCTGACAGCTTTTCTCGTACTGTGGTTGCCTCTCTGGGGATTGTACATTTTCTCTTTGGCCCAGGTAAGAGTCATGGCTATTAACTTTTTTTTAATCTAATCTGCGTTTCTCTGTTTTTTTTTCTTCTTGTTTGCACTACTATATGTCTCACATTTACAGTATTCATGCATGTTAAGGAGGAATGTAAATGTCCGAAGTCTGGCCTTACCACAACTTCTCTGCTGCCATGTTCATCCTGTTCCATACACTGACACTGCTGACGTTTTTAGGGTCCTGAAGATGGCCACACTCCTTTTAGACATTCTGTAGGCAGGCCCATATCAAACTGATCTTTGATTGTCTGAAAGTCTTATGGAGGAGAAAAAAACAGTAAAGGGTGGGAATCGAATTGCATGTATTATTTTCCCTGGAATTCAATCAGTTGTTTGCAGAATAGGAGGAAACTCTATCAAGCCTGTTTTAAATTTAGATTGAAATCTCATATAGTTCAGAGAAAATGAATCAAGTCAGAGTAGGTACATTTTTCAGTTTTAGCAATTTTGACTTCATTTCCATTTCATCTTTTTCTAGTTCTAGTTCATATTTATATTTCTAATAAAAATATAACTAGAGTACAGGCCTTATTTTAAAAATGAAACCTAAGATTAAATATATACCAGAATATAGTTTATATAAAGCAATGTATAGTTTTTATTAATGTATGGAAAACAAATTAAGATTCTTAGTAATCTATGTGAAATTCTTTCCTGTGTTTTAGGCAAATTTACATATAATTTTGTGGAACACTGAAGATCTAGATTTAAAATTAGTAAAATAAGAATGTACATTGCCTATAAAAGCAGTTTGCAGTTGTATATTTTGGAGAAGTTATCTGAGGTTATTTTTTTTGCCATTTATTGGGTCTAGAACTATGTCATTTATCATTGTTTTTATGCACTTTCTCTAGTAGGATAGGAGGACCATGGAGATTAGATTAGATTAGATTAAAAACTCAATTATAGGTTGAGTTTTCTTGGAAGGCATTTGCACTATGAGTTTCTGGTTGTCATAGCTTTTACCCAGATCACATCATAGATTATAGTTCAGAGTCTGTGTGAGAGGTCTGAGAGCCAGTAAAACTTCATAACAGCAGGTGAACACTGAATCCCCATTGTCAAACCTGCCTTCTGGTTTCTCCTTATACTTTCTCTGTGTCCCATGGTATCAGATGTCAAATAAAAGGGTTACATTAGGGGAAAAAAACCCCACTTTTTTGCAGGGGGGTGTCCTGAGGATTGAACCCAGGGAAGTTTTACCATTGAGCTACATCCCCAGCCCCTTTTATTTTTTATTTTGAGACAGAGTGTCACTGAGTTGCTTAGAGCCTTGCTAAGTTGCTGAGGCCAGCCTCAAACTTGTGATCCTCCTGCCTCAACCTTCTGAGCGCTGCTGGTATAATAGGAATGTGACAAGGCTCAAGACAATAACGTGTGTGTGTGTGTGTGTGTGTGTGTGTGTGTGTGTGTATGTGTATCTGTGGTACTGAGGACTGAACCAAGAGCACTCTACCACTGAGCTACATCCCCAGCCCTTTTCATTTTTTATTTTGAGACAGAGTGTCACTAAGTCGCTAGTCTCAGATCTTAACCTCCTGGGTGGCTCTAAGCAACTTAGACACGTCTGACATAATGAGTAATTTTTACAATTCAACAGGCTCTAAGCAACTTAGACACCTGACATAATGAGTAACTCTTACAATTCAACAGTAAATAGAGAAACCACTCAATTAAAAAATGGGCAAGGCCTGATGGCCCAATTACTCTAATTCCAACTACTCTGGAAATTGGCTGAGGCAGGAGGATCGAAAATTCAAGGTCAGCTTAGGCAACTTGGTGAGATCTTATTTCACAATAAAATTAAATGGGCTGGGGATATAGCTCAGTGGTAGAGTACTAGCCTAGTATGTTTGAGACTCTGGGTTCAATTCCTAATACCACTAAAAAAAAAAAAAGACAGAAAAAAAATCCAACAACACAGTAGGTATACCACTTCATTCCCATTAGGGTGACAATTTTTTTAAAAATAATTTTTTAAAAAATAGAAAATAACAAGTAATTGTTGAGCATGTGGAGAAAGTGGAATCCTAGTACATTGCAGGTGGGCATGTGAAATGCTATGGTTGCTATGAAAAAATAATATGTCGGTTCTTCAAAAAGATAAACAGAGCTAGGCCTGGTGGTACATGCCTATAAACTCAATTACGTTGGAAGCTGAGACAGGAGAATCTAGTTCAAGGCCAGCCATAGCAACTTAGTAAGACCCCTATTTCAAAATAAAATTAAAAAGAAAAGGGCTAGGGTTGTAGCTCAGTGATAGAGTGCTTGCCTACCATGCATGAAGCTGTAGGTTTAATCCCCAGTACCACACACAAAAAGTTAAGACAGAAATATCACATGATCCAGCAGTTCTACTCCTAAGTATATATAACTAAGAAAAATAAAAGCAAGCATTTAGGGTTGGAGTTGTGGCTCAGTGATAGAGTGCTTGCCTAGCAAGTGTGTGGCATTCAGGTTTGATTCTCACTACCACATAAAAAATAAATAAAATAAAGGTATTGTGTCCATCTACAGCTAAATTTTTTTTTTTTTTAGAGAGAGAGAGAATTATTTTAATATTTTTTAATTTTCGGCAGACACATCTTTGTTTGTATGTGGTGCCGAGGATCGAACCCGGGCTGCACACATGCCAGGCGAGGGCGCTACCGCTTGAGCCACATCCCCAGCCCTACAGCTAAAAATTAAAAAAAAAATTTTTTAAAGAAAATAAGTGTTTAATAAAAATTTGTTCCCAAATGTTTATAATAATACCATTTGCAATAGCCAATAGGTAGAAAAACCTCACATGTCTATCAACTAATGAATGAATGGATAAACAAAATATGTTATATTTATATGGTGGAATATTATTTAGTTATAAAAGTGAAATACTGATATATAATACAACATAGATGAACCTTAAATATATTAAACTAAGTGAAAGAAGTCAGATACAATAAGGTCACCCATTGTATGCTTCCATTAACATGTGATATCCAGGATAGGAGAGTCTGTAGAGATTAGAGCAGATTAGTGCTACTGGGGAATGGGGGAGTGGGCAGTACCTGCTTAATGGCTACAGAGATTCCTTTGGGGGTGATAAAAGTTTTCTGGAATTAGTGATGATGATTATACAACAGCGTTTATGTATTGAAAGCCTCTAAATTGTGCACTTAATACAGGTAAAATGTTAAATTTTTTTATTATGTGAATCTTTCCTCAGTAAAAAAGTGGAGGATGCCAGGTGCAGTGGTGCAGTCTATAATCTCAGTGGCTCCCGAGGCTGAGGCAGGAGGATTGTGAGTTCAAAGCCAGCAACTTAGGCCCTAAAAAACTCAGCGAGACCCTATCTTTAAATAAGATACAAAAAAGGGACTAGGGGTTTGGCCTGGTAGTTAAGCACCCTGGGTTCAATCCCTGGTACCCCCCCCCCAAAAAAAAAGGCTCTGGTCAGCTGGAAAGTGAGGAAAGGCAGAGAAGGGCACACTTATCACAGGGAGCTTTAAGATGGGGGAGTATGGCCATAGAAGTGCTTCTTGTCTTTTAAAGACATGGGGGCGAAAGGAAGACTGGTAAATGGTGGTCTCTGCCCTCAGGAATGAAAGCATAGGAGCCCTAATATGCTAAACTACTTGCCATGTGTCCTTTTATAGGAATAGCCTTGGTGTGGCCAGATTGATTGCAGAGCCTGGAGGTCCCAGCCCTTCAGCACTGCCATTCTCAGGAGGGAAAGAGAATAGAAAGGAGCTTGTGAAAAGGGGCCCTTTTGGATACTCCTTTTCAATCTTCACACCAAAGCCTGGCTTCTGCTCCTGGCTAGAAGCCATTCTTTTGTCCTACGTGGGTGGAGGGAGAGGTGGGTCTCTTATTGTCTCACCCTTTTTTCCCACAGCTCTTGCCTTACCCATGCATTGGGTGTAGAGGAGAGTGAGCCAAAAGCTCAATTCTGCTTTGTAATCATAAATGTCATGGATTTCCAGGTTTTATGGAAAATCCACAGTCCCAGAGGAAGGCAAGTTCCTGGCTGTCAGCACATTTTGGCACCTGGATCTTCCAAATACAGACCTTGTGAGAACTTACTTATCTGACATTATGGCATTTGAGGTAGTGTCTGCCTGTCTTAGAAATTTTGTTCTCCTGGTTAAGTGAAGTGTTTGGAACACTGGAGATGCTGCAGTGCAGCTGGACCTGAATGAGTGGTATTGTCTTCCAGAGGATGAGGCTGCTCACTAGAAAGTGCAGTTAATTAAGACAGTTCTATTTTTTGGTTGACCTTTGGGGCCAAAATTATAGTCATATCAGTTATGCCTATGTTAAAGCAGTTTAATTTCAACCCATTGTTTTCTTTTTTCAGCTTTTCTATACTTCCGTTCTGGTGCTCTGCTATGTTATTTATTTCACAAAGTTACTGAGTTCCCCAGAATCAACCAAGCAACACACTCTTCCTGTCTCCAGAATAACAGATTTGTTACCCGATTTTACCAGAAACAGAGTAAGTAATGTATTTTGTCTGATTATTTTAAATCACAGGTGATGGTTATCCTTGAGAGAAAGAAGCTGTAACTAGTTTGTTATAGTTGGAAATATTATTTATTCATTTACTTATTTATTTAGGTTCATACTGGGGCCTTAAGCATGCTAATTAAGTAGGAACTCTGCTGCTGAGCTACATCCCCAGTTCCCCTCCTTGTTGGGGGGAGTGTGGGTTAAACCTGGGGTCTTGAGCATACTAAGCACGTGCTCTACCATTGAGTCACATCCCCAGCACCCCCAGCCCTCTTTTAAATTTTATTTTGAGACAGGGTCTTACTAAGTTGCCTAGGCTGGCCTTGAATTTGCAATCCTCCTGCCTCAGTCTCCCAAGAAACTAGGATTAAAGCACGGACCCATTAGAAAGATAATTTTTTTAAAATTTCATATTTTCTCTTTGTTATTAATAAAGTATCTTTTTTTTTAAAGAGAGAATTTTTTAATATTTATTTTTTAGTTTTCAGCAGACACAACATCTTTGTTTGTATGTGGTGCTGAGGATCGAACCCGGGCTGCATGCATGCCAAGCGAGCACGCTACCGCTTGAGCCACATCCCCAGCCCAGAAAGATAATTTTATAGCTCATAATTATAGAGTACTTGCTATGTGCTAGGCCAGTGTTTCCAGATCTTACTACTAGTGGCATTTTGGTCTGAACTTGTTGTAGGAACTGCTATGTGCACTGTAGAATATATAACAGGATCACTTTACTTGCCTGGAGCTTCTGCCACTTCCTACTAGGTGCTTGTAGCAATAGCCTCCAGTGTAACACCCAGAAACTGCTCTGTCTTTTGGTTTTTCCTTGAATTGAAATGTCATACAAGTTCTCAGAAAGCTAGGTGACACCAATAGTTTCTTTATCTAGATGTGAGCCCAGTCTTTCACATGATCAACCTTCCCATCTACACCACTGAGGTCTGATACTTATGTGTGGAAGTGAAACATGATCTTTTTTTGCTCAACTCCTCTCTTGGTCCATTTGCCTTGTTTTCTGGCTGTGGTGGGGGCAGTGCTACTGTTCATTGCCCAGAGTTGCACATGAAATGGTCCACTGCACTGCCTCTGCTCAAGTGCTCTATAATCTGCTCCGTGCTGGGCATGTTTCCTTTTCCCCATACATGTTTGCTTACTGGATGTAGTGTACTTTGTTGTGGTAAGTCACCCACTGGACTTTTTAGTCCTCTTTTGTGATTACTTGAAAAGTAGCCAAATATGTGGGACTTAAGTTTCAGAATTTATGGAATTCTGTTATACAACTTTTCAGGGAAAACTAGATATTAAGTGTCAAAGTGACATATGTTTTTAGTTATTAGGAAAGCTTTCCATTCTGATTACTGGATCTTAAGTCAACATGACAATTTTGGATACTGCTGTGCCTCTCATCTGCAGGCTTAGATGGTTAGGACTCTGGATCATTTTTCTTGCATGGAGCGTCTGCCCCTGGCCCATAGAGCAGGTCTGAGTACAGAAGAGTTTCTTCTCCGAGTTCTCTCAGCTTTACCAAGCCTTGCCAGCTTTTTATACTGGGCCAGCCCCTGTGTCTCAGCATTATTTAGTAAAGGAGCATGTGAAACTGTTAATATAAGCAAAAAGAGAAGGTAATAAAACAAGTCCGCCAAGTGTTTATTAACTATCATGGTCTTAGAACGCTGTCAAGTAGGGATAATAATAATCCTTCCCATCTAAAGTTATTTTGAGAGCCTGATGAAATGGGGGCATGTAAAGTGCTCAAGGCTGTGTCCTGGCATGAGTGGGTGACACTAAACGATAGTTTTGTCACTACCATTACACTGCTGCTTTGAGAGCAGAGTTGGCTTTGACAGAGGACCCTTGCAAGCAAACACTGATTGATGCCAGTGTTGGGATAAAAAGTCCCACCTCATGGAGCCTGATGTAGGGATCAAATGAGAGAAAACGAGACACTAAAAACCTCCAACAGAAGCAATTAGATCAAGGCACTATTCAAAAACCTTTCATTAGGCTCTAATTCTCCTGAATTAAGCCCAAACTCGACAGCCCAAACCTGTTACATTTCCTGCATCATTGTGTTGGAATTGAGAATTCAAAGATGACTGGGATACTTAGGTGGCTGGACAGGGAGAAGAGAGAGAAAGAAAAGGTAAACAAAGATTATGAAGGGAGGTAAACCTGGCATGCTGAGCTGGGTCAGGCAGTAGTGACCTCAGTGCTATGATTTTCAGATGAGAGAATCAAGGCTTAATAAAGTTATTTATCTTGCCTGGCCTTTGGACTGTGTCAAGAACAGAAGCTTGAGCTCCATTCTCCAAGCTTGAGCCTGAAATGTGAACCTACTATGAGAAGGGTGGGCTAGAGGAAAAGACGTGAAAAAGTTCAGTAAGAGGCTCCGTAATTGGCCAGGTGAGAAGCAATGAGAGCCGGGGGAGGGTGGTTGGAAATGGGAATGGACAGGCTGGGGCAGAGACAACAGCTCTGGGATGACCTGGGCAAGTGGAGCAAGGGGTAAAGGAAACAATGCTGTGTGGGGCTGTAGTGGTGATGGAGGGCAAGGGCAGGAGTGTGGCCTCAGGCTCTCTGGTGACTGTTGTCAGTGCGAGAAGGATGTGGCTAATTGGATCATCCTAAGTCAGAAGAGTTTGGGAAGTGGAAGAGTGACTCAAGCTAAAGGTAGATGAAGTTCTTTTATTTTTAAAAAATATTTTTAGTTGTAGATGGACACAGTACCTTTATTTTATTTATTTATGTGGTGTTGAGGATTGAACCCAGTGCCTCACGTGTGTGAGGCAAACGCTGTACCATTGAGCTACAACCCCAGCCCTTTTGTGGTGTTACTGCCCATCACCTTTCACTTTTTTTTTTTTTTTTTTTTAAAGAGAGAGTGAGAGAGGAGAGAGAGAGATAGAGAGAATTTTTAATATTTATTTTTTAGTTCTCGGCGGACACAACATCCTTGTTTGTATGTGGTGCTGAGGATCGAACCCGGGCCGCACGCATGCCAGGCGAGCGCGCTACCGCTTGAGCCACATCCCCAGCCCATCACCTTTCACTTTGCAAGACTCATTTTCCCCCGTCAATCAGGGAAGCTGTGGAATGGCTCAGATTTTAGAGAAATTCACTTCTGTTTAGACCACATCAGCAGAACCAACTCAGCTTTGTGAAATAGATCTTTTTTACCATCCCAAGTGAGAAATTCATTCTGAATAGAATGATAGAAGTCCACAGAATTTGCTACCTCTTTTCTCCCACTTAGCAGACACCCCCAAGTTGAACCCCCATCTCAGATTGGACTTAACTGCCAATGTATCCTTAATGAGCACTTTGTGGAAGCGGCAGTAAGCAGTGTGACTGTTCCTTCTGAACCACAGCCCATTTAAATTGAAGGCATTAGGAGAAAGGAATCAATGAGCATGAACTTTTCAGATTGGATTCCCTGTCATGATTTCACACTCCTAATGAACTTTTTCTTTTAAGAACTCATATTCCCAAAGCCATTCACAACCAACTGGCAAGAGGACTTCACCAGTGCCTCATGGATAAGCTGCAACTTTTTGTTTCTTTTGAAAAGAGCACAGGTACTACTGTACAGACCCCTTAGAGGGCCATCCACCATTGCTTGGGCCAGGAAGTAGTGTGAGGGAAATGGCGGTGCCAAGCCTCCCCCAGAGCTGGGCTGAAACAGCATTTGTAGATGAGTGGTCCATAGCACCCCCTAGTGGTGGTAACTTGTCAGGTGCTCTTTGTTCTTGGGGGAGGAGATGATGATGGCCTGTTTTAAACATCTTGTGGTCCATTTTCCTTCTCACCAGGGAATATTTACTCTGGGGCTTGAGCTTCCTGGCATCTGCTGTAGGTTTGGCCATGCCCTGAAGGCAGCACAATTCCTGAGGATTTAGACCTGTTTTCCCACTGTTTAGAAGGGAAGTTCAGGTGAGGAGAATGGGGGCTGAAAACCACTTGCTTAAGAGATGCTGCAGATTTGCCCTGTCCTAAATGGTAGCCACCAGCCACATGTGGCCATACAGCATTTTGGATCATGGCTAGTCTGAATTGAGATGAACTGTAAGTGCAAGAAATATACTAGATTTCAAAGACTCAGTATGAAAAAAATAATGTGAAATGACACACACATATAAATATATACATATATATTTATTTGATATTTAACATTGATTACATGTTGAAAGAATGATATTTTGGGTTAAATAAAATATGTTAAAATTAATTTCACCTGTTTCTTGTTCATATTCACTGAGACTGCTAGAAAATTGAACATTACATTTCAGCTGGATAGCATTGCTGTACACAGATAAGCTCTGGGTCAAGAACAGGGGTCCATGTGACTGGGCAGGTTCCAGGAATGCTCTTGCACCCACTTCCTCAGCTGAGGCTGACCTCTTGGAGAGATGACATGGGCTTGGCCTTTGTGATTCACCCCCTACCAAAGAGCCCTTTGAAATCCCACCACTTAAAAAGTCATCACTTCAGATAATCAAAAATGTTCAAAATGCAAATATCCTAGGATTAAGAACCTACCATCTTGGGCTGGGGATGTGGCTCAAGCGGTAACATGCTCGCCTGGCATGCGCAGGGCGCTGGGTTCAATCCTCAGCACCACATAAAAACAATAAAGATGTTGTGTCTACTGAAATTTGAAAAATAAATTTAAAAAAAAAGAACCTACCATCTAGACTGAATATCTGGGATTCCAAGATGCTTGTGTGATAGAGGAGGGGCCCCAGGGGAACTGGGGGAGATTTACTAGCCATCCCTCTCTTCCATTTTATGGTTAGCTCTCTGGCTTTAAAGCCACGTGTCTCATACATTGACCTTTGCTTTGAGTATTTGCTTCCTTCTTACCCTCTTTGTCCTTAGAAGGTGGAGAGTTTGGTGCCTCCAGGAACTTCAAAAGAACAATATCAGAACTTTTGTTTTTTCCTTTCCTCTGTTATACTAATTTCAAGTGGTTTACTTGACCTTAGAAGGCTGAATTTCTTTTGAAATTTACAAGCATATCTCATATGCTTGTGTAAAAGGACCCTAAGTGGCCTATTAGGATGTGGAGCAGAATTTATGCTGTAGACTGGTGTACTTCAGATGTATATATGCATGCGTGTGTTACTTGAACCCAGGGGTACTCTACCACTGAACTATATCCTCAGTTCTTTTTATCTTTTAGTACAGTGTTTCACTAAAGTGCCCAGGCTGGCCTTGAATTTGTGATCACTTTACCTCAGCCTACCAAGTCATTGAGGTTTCAGGCATGTCACCTAAACAGATTATTTTAAAGAAAAGGAACTCACTGTAAGCTGTATGTGTTAGACATGGTCAGTGTCCTGTCTGAGTTTCCAAGGGGATCCTGGTGGTTCTTTAGAGGTCTTTGTGTATAAATGTTGGGTATGCTCTTTATAGACTTTCTCTTTGTATTTGATAATTGGGTTAGTCAACTTTCTGTTACTATAACAATTACTTGAGATAAGCAACTTATCAAGAGATAAGGTTTATTTTGGCTTATAGTTTTAGAGGTTTCAGGTCCATCATGTATTGGCCCAATTGCTTTGGGCTTATATCAAGGTAGAAGTGTGTGGCAGAATAAAACAGCTTACCTCATGGCCAGGAAGCTAGAGAAAGAGGAAGAGTCTAGAACCCCACAATTCCATTCATGTGTACACTGTCAATGACTTACTATGCTTCATCTCTGAGAGGTTCTATCACCACCCAAGAATGCCATGCGGGGGTCCAAGCCTTTAACACATGGCCTTTGGGGTACATTCAAGATCCAGACTATAGCAGTAACATAAAGTCTTTTCTAGTATTTGTGGATGCCTTCTGTATGCTTAATGTTAAATAAGAATTCAGTGGAGACTATTCCAAGTTGGAGTTTAGGGACCAGATTGAATTTGCCTCTCATATAGCATTATATTCTAAGCCTTGAAATACCCAGGATTTTAACATTGTTTTGTTTTTGTTTTCTAGGATTTTGTAAATTGGAAAGAGGCTAAATTAACCTGGAGTTTTTTCAAACAGTCTTTCTTGAAACAAATTTTGACAGAAGGTAAGTAAAAGGTTACTCTGAGCAGTCAGGATATCATGGTAGAAATAGAGGGATTTCACAGAACTGTTGATTACCTGGATCAAAACTACCTGTCTGGAGCCCCCTTGGCAGAGGACCCTCAGAATTTTTTTAATGAGAGGGAAAACAACATTTATTTAGTTTTATGCTTTACTTAAGTTGCCTAATTTAAATCTCTCTACAGCCTCATTAAAGACATTTCCCCCTTTATTATGGATAAGGAAACTGAGCATCAGTGAGGTTGTAGAATTTTTTTCAGGGTCCTACAGTCCATGAGGAACAGTTTAATTGGAATCCAAGTCTGAGTTAGTCAGCTTTCCATTACTGTGAAAAAATACCTAAGCTAATCAACTTAAAAGGAGAAAGGGTTTATTTTGGTTCACAGTTTAAGAGATTTCATTCCATGGCCACTTGTCCCTGGTGCTTTGGGCCTGTGGTAACATAGTACATCATGGCAGGAGCCTGTGGTGGAGGAGGCTTGTTCATCTCATCACAGCAGGGAAGCAAAGAGAGAGACAATAGTGGTCTGAGGTTCCAGTATCTTCTTCAACAGTGTGCCGTCACAACCTGACTTCTTCCCACTAAGCCCCACTCCCTAAAGGTCCCATTACCTCTCAGTCATGGGCTGAGGACCAAGCAGAGCCAAACTATCAAAATCTAACTATAAAACCCGGTGGTATATCATTTTAATAGAGTTGTTATGAAAGTGTTATCAATTATAGAAAACTTTGGAGATAGAGGAAACTACCCATGAATTCACAATTCCAATTTTTTAATATATTTTTTCTTTCTTTTTTTTTCAATATTTTTAAGAACAAGGTTTTCATCGTTTTATTTTCTTACTTAAGATTGACCCATGTGATAGTTTGGTCAGATATCTGACTTCTGACAGAACTCCTAATGCAGAGGCCCTGACAATGAGCTGAAAGCATAATATATGGTTGATTTTTACTCAGCTTAAATTCAGAGAATGAAATTTGAGGTAGCTATAAGCAGCTGGAAAGTGGAGGGGTTTTTTCTACATGCAGATTTGATGTCAATAGATCTGCATATCTGTTACTGAATATATTTTTTTATCTTTTCAAAATTATCCTTTTTTTTTTTGGTACCAGGGATTGAACCCAGGAGCACTTAATCATTGAGCCACATCCCCAACCTGTTCTTTTTATTATTATTATTATTTGAAGACAAGGTCTTGTGCTAAGTTGCTGAGGGTCTTGCTAAGTTACTGAGGCTGGCTTTGAACTTGTGATCCTTCTGCCTCAGCCTCCCCAACCACTGGGATTGCAGACATGCACCACCATACGCAGTTCAAAATGATCTTTTAGATATAAAAGTAATATAATCCTATTACAAAAATTCTAAAAAAACAGAAAATATAATCCTAGTATTCTAAAACAACTACCCTCACTATTATCTTGTTATTTTCTTCTCCCCCTATTTGTGTTTTGTTAATTATGACTCCAAAGGGAAGTAATTTACTTCCCCCCCCCAGGCCTCTTTTCCTATCTATGAGCTGAGAGAGGACCAAGAGGGGCTTAAGGGCCCTCTGAGCCTTGAGAGTGCATGCTTCTAGTCTGAGCTTATGACTGCTGGTACAAAAGTTAAACTATTCGGGGGATTTCTGGGTCAGAAACCTTGAGAGAGCTGGCTCCTAGAAAGCAGGGAGTCTCCTTGCTGGGCCTGGCACACCACAGATGTTCAGCAAGTATTTGTTGATAGAGTAAGAAGAGTGACAACAGAAGAAAACTGTAGCAAAATTGTGTGTTGTGGTAGTTCACATTGTGATTAGAACAGAAAAATCAACGGAGAAAGTTTTGGTGAGGATGTTGTTTTGTATTTTTTTCTTCCCAAAGTTTTAAAAGCAGTTTTAATGAGTTTGAGGGAGTTGGATCCAGTCTACATGATGTTCTTCAATACATTGCACAGATTACAGTTGCTAGACATGTGTTTGCAACATTTAATTAAGCCATTCACTAAAGCCTCCTGAGCTTGTCCTGAGCAAATCCAGGTACTTGCCCCACAGTTGGGCCATACTAATATGGCTTCCTTTCTCCATTAGGAACTTCTCAGGGCCTCCATCTCCATGGCTAGAAAATAAGGAAGTAGGCTAAATGACAACTTAAGTTTCTTTTATCTTTAAAAACTACAGTTCTGAGTCATGTTCAGTGGTGCACACCTGTATCCCAACAACTCTGGAGGCTGAGATAGGAAGATCATAAGTTTGAGGCCAGCCTCAGTAACTTAGGGAAACCCTGTCTCAAATAAAAAATAAAAAGCACTGGGAATATAGGTCAGTGGTAAAGCTCCCCTGGGTTCAATCTCCAATATAAAAATAATAATAACAATAATAATAATAATTATGGCTCTAAAAAAAGTTAAAATAACTTTGTAGTAGCAAAAATGTATGTGCTCCTCCCTTCTGCCCCCACATTTCCTGCAGCACTGTATGCAAGGTGCTGAGACTAGAGATGAAGAGTAACAAACAGACCGTGACCTCAAGGAACTCATGCTCTCACCAGTTGCACACATCATGTGGTTAACCATTTCAAGACTGTGGGACTATACTTGGAAATGTTAACTCAATCAATTAGAAGTCTCTGGAGTGCCTCTCATTTCCTGGATCTCTGCTAGGAACTCAGAGACACAGATAACTGAGAGGGGTCTTCTGCCCTCAGGAAGCTGGTAGAATATGAGGAGAGGCCTATGCTGCCAGAAGGTAGGGAAAAGCCAGTCTGGGTTGTAAAAATACCCTAGCTAGGCCCAGCCTGACTCTGAGCAGCAACTGGAGGCTAACCCCAGATAGGTAGGTGACAACGGAGGATGACAGTGTGATAGGGATGAGACTGGTGAAGAGAGGCCACAAAGATAGTGTGTAAAAGCCCTCATACATAGAATAAAGAAGCCCAGACTTTTTGCAAACACTAATGAGCCATTTGAAGCCATGTGAAAGCAGGGTACAGTTGTCCCTTGGTATCCTGAGAGATCGGTTCCAAGGTCTCTCCCTGCCAACAATGGATAAATCTAAAATCTGAGAATGTTCAAGTCTCTTATGTAAAATGGTGTAGTATTTGCATATAATCTACATATATCCTTCATCTACTTTAAATAATCTCTAGAATACTAATAATACCTAATGTAATATAAATGCTATGTAAATCATTGTTAAACTGTATTGTTTAGGGATTGATGATAAGAAAAGAAGATTTGTACATGTTCAGATGCAGTTTTTTTTTCCCCCCTGAAATGTTAACAGTTAGGGTAGATCAGAGATACAGACCTGGGAGGACCTTCGGAGGTCTTTGCTACATATACTTGTAAGGAGACAACATCAGAGAGAGGAGAGTCTTGACAGAAGATGGAAATTTAACCTCTTAATTAATGCTTTCTTTTATGAGCATTTTCTAGGAGGTGAAAACTTGCCCTTTTAGGCTCTGGGCACTGTTTAGTGCTGTCTTTTTAAGAGTTAGTGCTTTTCACTTATGGATAAGAAAATTCATAGAATGGGACAGAGTTGCTCCAGGGTGGTGTCTTTATCTTGAAGGCATTGGGCTGCCTTAGATTTGAGGATGAACTGAGCTTCCAGAACCTCTAGGCCCTGGGGAGTGGGGGCGGGTCTCTCTACCTGAGAGGAAGTGGAATGAGCATGTGCCACTGTCATGGACATTTCCCTTCACAGATAATTTACACTCTGGTTATTTCACCCACTTAAGACTTGGGACATACTGGGAATGTAACTTAGTGGTAGAGTGCTTGCCTAGCTTGTACAATGCCTAGGGTTCTATTCTCAGCACTGCAAAAAACAAACTTGTGACAGTCGTTTAATAATTTCTTTTTCTTTTCTTTTTTTTTTTTTGAGAGAGAGAGAGAGAATTTTTTAATATTTATTTTCCATTTCTCGGCGGACACAACATCGTTGTTTGTATGTGGTGCTGAGGATTGAACCCGGGCCGCACGCATGCCAGGCGAGTGCGCTACCGCTTGAGCCACATCCCCAGCCCGTTCAATAATTTCTCCATATTTTATTTTTAACTTATTAGATTGGTTTTATTGGTTGGTTTTTAATTTAGCTGGCTTGGAGATTTGCTGTTAATAAAGCCCTCAGCATTGTCCAAATTATGAGATTACTTGAAATCAGCCTTAGGACAAGGAACAAGTCTGTAACCAATTATCTGATTTTTCTTCTTTGAGGGTATTCGTCCACCTGAAAAGTTGATAAATGATAAGAGTAAAGGAAATTAATTTATGCATTGAAAATGCTAATTATTTTGCTTTTCCATTTATAGGCGAGAGATATGTGATGACATTTTTGAATGTATTAAATTTTGGTGATCAAGGTAAGATGAAATTCTATAGTGTTTTAATTAAAGGTGAATACTATTAATAGATACTTCCTAATATCTTTCTTTGTGGTTTGACATATTTAGTGAGCAATGAATCTGAACACTATTATAAATTAATAAATGAATTTTTTAAAAAATATTTATTTTTTAGTTGTAGTTGGACACAATACCTTTATTTTATTTACTTATTTTTATGTAGTGCTGAGGATTGAACCCAGGACCTCACACATACTAGGCAAGCACTCTACCACTGAGCCACAACCCCAGCCCCTAGAAATGAATTCTTAAGATTATAAATTGTACATCTTTGTATAAACATATACAGTGTACTGACTATGCCCTCTTGTGTAACTTGAGTGGCAAGTTATTGTTGAGACCCTTTTGCCTTCTGCTTCCTGGTGAGCTCTGGTGCTCATTTTGGGGGTTGGAAGTGTGCTAGGAGAGAAGAAACAGGGAATTCACTATCACAGTAATAAAGATCTGTCCTGGGTTTATGTGGCTAAATAGGTCTTTCTCAGTTTTTTTTTCTTTTCCATATTTTTTTATACCAAAGAAATGAAAAAAACAATTTAAAAAGCAACTTTACTTTTATTAAAAAGTGCTAGATAGAAGATCTTGTCGATTGTGTGAATGTCAGCATCTTGATCGATATTGTATTATAGTTTTGCAAGATGTTACCATTTTGGGAAACTGGGTAATGGGTACATGGGCTCTCTGGATTATTTCTTTAACTACATGTAAAGCTCAAATTATCTCAAGATTTTTAAAAAGTTTAATTAAACATATTTACCATTTTAATAATGTTGTGAAAGTTAAAATAGAAAAACAAATATGATTGTCATTTCTTTCTTTTTGTTTTATAGGTGTATATGATATAGTGAATAATCTTGGGTCCCTTGTGGCCAGGTTAATTTTTCAGCCAATAGAGGAGAGTTTTTATATATTCTTTGCTAAGGTACTGGAGAGGGAAAAGGATGCCACACTTCAGCGGCAGGTAATCCTGGTTCTCATGCCTATCATCTCTCAAGTGAACTTCTATCTAATTGCTAGACAGACAGAAATGTGGAATGGTCTATTTCCCTTTTGTTTGATATGAAATGTTCTTCTAGTTTTCATTTTTCTATCACATTCTGGCAGATGGCAGCACCTAAGCTCATTTCTGTTTCCTGACCTTTACCCTCTCCTCCTGGCTGTCCCCTTTTGTCTTACCCCTTTGTCCCTTTGTATGCCCTTACTTTTGACCCAGCCCTCCCAGCTTTTTTTTTTTTTTGCTACTGGGGATTTAACCCAGGGGCACTTAATCACTGAGCCACATCTCCACCCCTTTTTATTTTTTATTTTGAAACAAGGTCTCTCTAAGTTGCTGATGCTGGTTCAAACTTGCAGTCCTCCTGTCTACCATTCCTGGCTTCAGAGCTCTTTATAATTGTCCCCAGTGCAGCACAGAACACCCACCCATGGCTTAGTTTTAGGTATAAGAATAAGATAGTCTCTCCTATTCTCAGATTCTCAAGAACCAGAGGGCCAGGTGCAGTGGCACACACCTGTAATTTCAGCAACTTTGGAGGCTGAGGCAGGAGGATCACAAGCAACTTGAGGCCCTAAGCAACTTGGCAAGATCCTTCCTCAAAATAAAAAATAAATAAATAAAAGGGCTGGGGGGTGTGGTTCCATGGTTAAGCACACCTGAGTTCAATCCTTAGTACCAAAAAAAAAAAAAAAAGAACCACCAGAGGATGCCAAGGTTGGAGCTGGGCTAACCTACAGCATAGGGAAGAAAATATGTGGTCACAGGGCTTCTCTCACCACACCAATTATGTAAGTTTTTTTAAAGACTGTGTCTGTCCAGGGCTACATTCTGACCCTAAAAATCTATGTACTCTGGTTGGTCAATATGAAGAAATTTTAATCCAGGAGCATTTGGTTATAGAAACTGCTTTTTCTAAAACCATTGAAAATGTCTGACGTATCTTAGAATTCAAAGAAAACGAAATCCATCTCTTACATATGTAAGAAGGCATTTTACAAAGTATAGTTTATGCACACAGTATCTCAAGATGAGCTACTTTAGTTCTCAGTCTGGTTTAAGAATATGAACCCAAGTGTACATTGATAATAAATCAACATCTTAAGATATTTGTCAGGAGAAACATGAGCCGGCTGGCATAGATGAAAACTTACTCCATTTTAGAATAAAATATCAGGGCTGGGGCTGTAGCTCAGTGGCAGAGTGTTTGCCTAGCACGTGTGAGGCCATTTTACATAAGGGACTTGAGCATCCTCAGATTTTAGATTTATCCATTGTTGGCAAGTGACTTTAGCACCATATAAAAATAAATAAAGACATTCTGTCCATCTACAACTACAAAAAAAAAATCTTTTTAATCAGGGTACAGTGAGTGGTTCATAAGCAATATTTAAAATGATTCATTCTAAATGAGTTGAAAACTAAACCTCCCCTCTTGCCACCTAAAAGATACACACTATCCCCACTTTTTTTTTTTCCTGATTGAAAAGAAATGTGCTACAGAAAAGCAATGAGGTCTTATCTTAATTCATTTGGAAAAATGATCTGTAAAACAGTACAGGGGGAAGGTGAGATGTGAGGGTGTTCTTCAGTTCATGATTTATCCAGCTTCCTTCCCTTTCCCCCTAACCCAGGAGGACTTTGCTGTGGCTGCTATGGTTTTGGAGTCCTTGCTCAAGCTGGCCCTGCTGGCTGGCCTGACCATCACTGTTTTTGGCTTTGCCTATTCTCAACTGGCTCTGGATATCTATGGAGGGGCCATGCTTAGCTCAGGATCAGGTATGTGCTAGAGTTTGGTCTAGTTTGTTTTAATTTCCAAACAGAAATAGAAGAGTCTCCTGAAGTTTAAAAATTTGTGCACACGCAGTCAACATCTGTGTTCCTGGAGAGTTGTGGGAAAGCTGGGCTTGTGGGACTGTTCTCTCACTGGAGTTGAGATGTGCATGCTCAGGGTGATCAGTTCCCCAGCCTCACCTGGAGAAGTTATGAATCTTCCTTACAGTTGGCTTTTCCTCTCAGGCCTAAAATGTGTTTTGCCAAGCACTTGCCTGTGTTCCCTCTGGGGCAAGGGAGGAGGGCAGAGAGCAGGCTCTAATGAATCTCCACTTGGTATTAAACACATCTGAAGATAGTAAATGCCACATAAATCCCAGGCCTGATGCATAAAAGCCTCGGAAGGACAACCCAGAGCAATTTGCAGAGAATAAAATTGATCTCAGCAAATAAAATGGTATATTTAATCCACTGACTCTCGGTGTTTGAAGGAGAAAACTATTGAATATGTCTGATGAAATACCTGGTGCCCAGGCTGCTGAGACTCTCATAGCACTTTCTGGTCCTTGGGAACTTCACCAGTTTCAAAATGTATTGAGCTATAGGCTAGCAATAGTCCATTTGTAGAATTTCATTTTTGATTTAGCAAAGATGTTTTTAATTACCCAGGTCACTAGCAAGAACCTAGAAGATTTTTTTCTGTTGCCCCATCTCAGTATAATTAAGGGCTTTGTCCAGTGCCTTTTTACAAGTTCTTTCACTATTGTAGTTGCCACTATACTGGCGCTCAAACTTTTGGTATTGGGAAAAAATGGCCAAGTTTCTACACTAGAGCAAAGGTCATGAAGTTTGTAGGAACACCTGCTATGAAGCCAATGAAGTGGTTTGCAGCTCCCTGGGGCTTGTGTTGTGAGAAGTACATTTCCATCAGGCAACTGCAGGGAGGCCTCATTAGGAAGCCATTAGTAAGTTTATGTGCAGAGATTGGGGATCAACTGTTTAACAGCAGCTCTGCCCCTTTAGAAAGCAATCACTAAGGAACAGCCTTTTCTGTAACAGTCACAGGATGTTGCCAAGAAAGGCTGTCCCATCATTGTTATGTTCATCTGGTAGAGAAATTAATCACAGAAGAGATACACACAAACTACTATCATTGTGTTGTCCTTTTATTTAAGTGAGGTGCAGGTATGGTTTTGAGCGTCAGTAATAGAGTTAGCAATTAAAAAGATCAGAGTTCTGAATCATTAATAATTTTATACTCAAAAAGTTGTTCTTCAGTCTCATCTTCAGAGAGAGCAGTCCTGAGAATAATTCTTGTTTCTCAGTGTCTTAAAAGCATTGTGGTTTGGTATGTCACTGCAGGGTCTTCAGGACCACTGGCCTCTCTTGCCTAGGCCAGGGTCCCAGTATAACTGCCCCAGCACCGTCTTTTAGCATTTATCTCTGAGTCTTTGGTTCCTCACACTTTTTTGGGGGGGAGGGCGGGTACCAGGGATTGAACTTGGGCGCTTAACCACTGAGCCACATCCCAAGCCCTATTTTATATTTTATTTAGAGACAGGGTCTCATTGAGTTGCTTAGTGCCTCGCTTTTGCTGAGATTGGCTTTGAACTCGTGATCCTTCTGCCTCAGCCCCAGTGCTTCTAGGATTGCAGGCGTGTGCCACCGTGCCTGGTAGTGCCTCTCACTTTGATCAAACTTCCACTCTCTGTAAAGCCCATTTGGCTTCTAGGTAGGGCAGTACTTTTCACAATGTGCCTGCTGACTGTCCCTATCCGTGCTACCCCTCTTCTCCCTACCTACTCCTGTCTCATCAGACTGTATCTCCTTAGGCCTTTACTATACCAGAAAATATAACACTTTGCTCTCTCCATTCTAACTCATATTCCCCACAACCCTCTTTTTTGTTTTTCAATACTAGGGATTGAACCCAGGTGCATTCTACCACTGAACTACATCCCCAGCCCTTTTTATTTCTTATTTTGAAACAGTGTCTCTCTAAATTGCCCAGGCTGGCCTTGAATTTGCAATTCTCCTGCCTTAACCTTCCAAGTAGCTGGGATTATAGGCCTGCACCACCATGCCCAGTTTCTTGACTTTTTAATTTTTTTTTTCTTTTTGTGGCTTTATATTACTTTCCTGGGGCTTCATGACAAAGTACTTCAGACTGAGCGGCTTTATTAAATTATTTTGCTATGCTAGGGTTTGAACTTGTGTATGTTAGGCATGTGTTCTACCACTGAGCTACACTCTCAGTCCCTCTAGTGACTTTATTTTGTTTGTTTGTTTGGTACTAGGGATTGAACCACTGAGCCACATGTACAGCCCTTTTTTATATTTTCTTTTGATAAAGGGTCTTGCTGAGTTGTTCAGGGCATCACTAAGTTGCTGAGGCTGGCTTAGAACTTGCCATCCTCCTGCCTCAGTCTCTTAGGCCACTGGGATTACAGGCATGTGCCACCACACCTGGCCCTTTAGTGACTTTAAATCGCAGAAATTACTGTATCATGGTCCTTTCTGAGGGCTAGAAGTCTAAAATCAAGGTGCCAGCAGGGTTTTGCTCTCTGATAGCACTAGGGGAAGGTCTTTTCTTGTCTCTTCTAGTTTCTGGTGTTTGTCCACAGTCCTGGGTATTCCTTGGCTTGTCCTTGTATCACTTAAGTCATGTGGCCATGATCTACCTATTTGTCTTCATATTTTCTTCCCTTTGTGTGTGTGTGTGTGTGTGTGTGTGTGTGTGTGTATGTCTTTTGTCCACATTTCCCCTTTTTGTAAGGATACCAGTCATTGGCTTAGATCTCTTTTTAACTATATTAGCTCCATAAAGACTTGTTTCTAAATAAGATCATATTCTGAGATGCTAGGAGTTAGAACTTCAGTGTGTCTTAGGGTACGTAGTTCAACCCATACATCTCATTTAATTCACAGTTTAAGATTCCATCTTTGAAGTCCCCAAATTGTCTCAAAGCTTTCTCTCTTTAGTCACTGCTTCATGCCAGAGTTTGTATTCCTCATGCCTGTAGGCAGCTCACTGTCTATCCTCAGATGGGCCGATGTAAGCTGTTAGCATTCAGTTACCTGGTGAGAGTGACCCTGTTTCTTTCTGCTTTGGCCAGAGAGAGGAGGACAGGGAGAAGCTTATTAATTAGTGATAGAATTGCATTACTTTGTTTGAGAAGGAAATATCATTATTGGCTCTGGTTCTCACTGTGGATTGTGAATGTTCTATCTCAGTAGATCTTTTTCTAGGACCTGCTCAACTGAGATTCCCTTAATATTCAGGGCTACTTGTGTCTTGAGCATTCAAACTAGCAGGCCTCCTTATGCTGATTTTAAAATGAGCAGATTAGCTTGCTTTTAGTTGTTAGATCTATATATGTATTCAGATCTGTATATTTATTCATAACTATTCTTTTGTTTTTAACTGATTACTTTAGTAGTACCATGGAATGCTGGGAGTCCTCCAATATGTGCGCATTCTGTCCACTGTTACCAGTAGGTCCCATGGCCCAGTTCTGGTGTTTTCTTAGCATTCACCCAAACTGTGGTAGTATGTAGTCCTATTTGGATCTAGAATCTTGGTGGGTTGTTTCCTTGTAGGTCCGGTTTTGCTGCGTACCTATTGTCTCTACGTCCTCCTGCTTGCCATCAATGGAGTAACTGAGTGTTTCACGTTTGCTGCCATGAGTAAAGAGGAAGTTGACAGGTGGGTAACCTAGAAGGTACACCCTTAATCATGACCTTTGGCCAAAATGAACTAAGTTGCTAATCTTTTTTCTTTTCATTCTGAACATGTGTTTATTGATGGCTTTCTCAGAGATAATACTAGACCACAAGTATGCTGCATCCCCAGGATCTCTACAGCCTGGCATGATTTAGCTAGTACTCCCTATAATAGGGTCAGGGGACGGCAAGTTCTGTGTGCTTCCCTTTGTGGATGGAGAAATGTCATCCCTAAAGTGTCATGATTGTCTAGGTGTACAGAGTCAGGCATACAATAAGGTAGACTTCCATCTCTCCATCCTATTACCCAGCCCCCACTTAGTGGTCCTCAGCTCTTGTTATCTATTGACTCTAGATCAGCAACCCTGCTCTGGAACTTCAGCCAGTGGGTCTTAACATTGGTTGTGTGTCAAAATCCTCTGTGGAGCTTATTAGAAATGCATATTTCTATCTGCTATATTTGCACTACTCCTTTTCCCATCATACCTGTAGGAACAGCAGGCCCTTGAGAATGAGTGTGCATGTGTGCATGTATATATATATCAATTATTCTGAGGTGAACTCTTGGTTAAGTGCCTTTGGCCCACACCCAGAATTATTCACCTCTTCTGTCCTAAATACAAAAACCTAGCAAGGCAGTATCTTAATGCACCACTATAGGACAAGGTTAAGGAACAGCATAAAAAACAAGAGAGGAAAATAGAGAAGAGAATAGAAAAGGTTGGTGTAGATGGCGGGGTGAGTGGCTGTTGTTATTCAATCACCCCTTAAGGCTTGGATCTCTTGTGTGTTTTCATGCTGCCTCTGTAACCTTGAGTGCTATTGAGAACTCTCTGAGGCCTGGTCATAGAGGCAGGATGGGGAAGGGAGCTCAGAATCAGGAAACCTTTCCTCCTATTAGACTGGCTTCTGTCTATTCTCATCTTGGGATGCTTCAAATAGAAGCTATGGTGACTTTATTTGCTACTAGTGATCGAGAACTTGTCTAGACCAATGTCCCAGCCTAGACCAATGAGATTCTCCTAGGAAATTCTGCTACTTTCCCAGACCAGTTGAGTTAGAATTTGGGGAGGCTTGAACCAGGGAATCAAGTCATTACACAGTTCCAGGTGATTCTGATTCTAAGTGTGTGATAACTACCGGCCCAGGCCAGCTTTCACAGTAAACATACATTGAGCTCTGTGACCCAGTAGATACCTTGGTACTGAAGCCAAAATCCACAAAGCAGGAAGTATTCCAGTTATGCACAAGATACAGTGATGCTTTTTATTTCTTCTACTTCATTTTTCAAAAATATCATCTTATAACCTTCTGAATTGATTTCTCAGCCTATTAATAGGTCACAATCCATAGTTTTATTTATTTATTTATTCATTTTGTAATACTGGGAATTGAACTCAGGCTCTTATGCATGCTAGGCAAGCACTCTGCTACTAAGCTACATCCCAAGACCTACCATAGTTTTAAAATAGTGGTCTAGACATGGTTTTCACCTCAAATAATTAGGTTTGTAGCTATAGAATTGCTTTGAGTCACTCTTCCCCCACCCCATGGATGAAAAAGTCTAAGTTTACTTTGAAAGTACCATTTTTTTATTTAAAATGCTTCTCACAATTGAATCATTTAAAAATATAATTTGACACATACTAACTATGGCTTTGTGACATCATAGAAAGAGCTTGGACTAGCAGTCTAGCACTTGAAGGGAATTTTATTGTAATAACTTTAGCATTAGTGTGTGTGGGGGTCAACACTGAATCCATTTAAAATGTAAAAAAGAAAAAAAATTGCTGCTCAGCACAGTGGCTCTCACCTGTAATCCAAGTGACTCAGGAGGCTGAGGCAGGAGGATCATAATTTCCAGGTCAGCATTGGCAACCAAGTAAAACCCTTTCTCATAACAAAAAAATAAAGGTCTGAGATTGTAGCTCAATGGAGAGTGCCCCTGGGTTCAATTTCTAATACCACAAATAAATAAAAAACCTTGCAACAAAACCAAGAGGAAATACAGTGGATGGTTGCTTTCTTTTCTTTTATGTTGCACTGAACCAAAGGAAACAACTCTTTAAGTTAGCTATAATGGAATGTTGACAATATTTCAACATCTGGAAAATTGTTTTCATGGTATTAGGAAGCAGAAAAATCAGAGGCCAGAGCACCTTCTAATGCAGTTCTTATCTGATATAACTTCGATCCCCTTAGAGTAAAATATGACTTTAAGCATGGTCTTCGGACAGCACTCTTAGTTCTGTCTGGGTCCCTGTCCCCAGCCCTCTGTCCTGGTCTGAGCGTATGGAGCACCCAAGTTCATCATAGACCCTGTTTTTGTTTTTTTGGTTTTTTTTCATCCTTGTGAATTTAACCAAATAAAACTGTAGCTCGGATTTTTATGTAGAATTAATAGCTTAAATTAAATGTTAAAATCGATTATGATGACTTTACATTGAACATTTTAGATTCAGAATTTTAAAAAGGCATTGATGCAGACGTGGATTTTTATCTAGTCAACTTCAGGTTAACCATGTTTTTCTAAATAAAAATAGAGTGGTTAGTTCTGAAATGTTAAGGCTTCCTTTGAATTGCAAGTTGCTTTTTATTTAATAGCCTAATATATAGGATCTGATTGATGGATTTTTTCATTATACTGTACTGAAGAATTTTTGTTCTCTTTTGTGTAAGATGTCTCATTTTCTTTCTTGCATTCAACAAAAACTTTTGCGCATTTACTCTCTAACAAGCATTTTTTTTAAGTTTTGGGAATACAGCAGTGAAAAAAACAGCTAAGATCCCTGCTCTCCAGAGCTAATGAGAGGCAAACTAGTTAAGAAAGTAGAAAATGTACTGTACTAAAAAATAAAATAGGATTATGTAGTGAGTGTAGTGAGTGGTGGGGGGCCATTAGATTGGCTAAGTTGAGGTCTGAATGACCAAAAGATGGTCAGAGACAGGACAGTGCTTTCTAGGCAGAGGAAGGCCCAAGATTGACAGCTCCTTTGCCTGATTTATTGATCTTAGAGTGCCCTTATATATAAACCACATAACTGTTGAATGAAAAATGACTGTGATCTTCTTGTGCTGATACATAAGAGGTCAGTGCTGTCCTTTTTGTATCTGCAGAGGCTCCATTTTACACATTTGTAATCCCAGCAACTAAGGAAGCTGAGGCAGGAGAATCACAAGTTCAAGGCCAGCCTCAACAACTTAGCAAGACCCTGTCTCAAGATAAAAAATAAAAAGGACTGGGGATGAAGCTCCATGGTAGAGCATCTATGGATTAAATGCTGCCAAAAACAAACAAAATAAAATTTGTGTGGCTGTGATTTAATGTGTTCAGTTAGCAGCTACTAAGGGGTGCTTTGGACAATACTACAGTTAATACTCTTGAGCATCCATTTTCTGGTAAACTTGATTTTAAGTCCAGTATCTTCTCGGATCATGGAGAAATAAACATTCATAAATAAATTGCTATTTATGTAAACCAACCCTTATAAAATAGTTAATGTCAATGATGAATAATTTTGCTTTGATTTCAATAGTGCTGTTTTAATTGCATCTTTAAAGCTCTTTTTTTTTTTAATGAAGTGGATTATGTCTTTAAGGCTACAGATTTGTGACTTCTGAAAAGTTTAGCAGCTACAGAGCCTCTTGTAGTGGAAGACAGTGGGCCTTATCATTCTCAACTCCTCCCAGATGGTCATACCAAAGAGGCTACAAAGTTGAATGCTTCCCAGCTTGAATTAGTATGAATTAGCTATTGGTTTCATTCATTACTGCCATTTTACTTGGAGTTGTATGAGGATGACTTTGAAAGTTTTTGAATCTGTAGCTCAAACACCAAGGATTGGTGTAGAATACCCTTCTGAAATAGTTCTTGAAAAAAATAACAGATTATATGTCTGCTTCTTTTGGAAAAGAGGTCAAACTCCTGATCTGTGATGGGTCCCACCTTCAGTGGCTTGTTATGAAATGACTATTCTGATTATTTATTAGTAGTTAAAAAAAAAAAAAAAAAAGCTTCCCTAGTGAAAGATGAGCACAATGGTGCATACCTGTGATCCCAGCAACTCGGAGGCGGAGGCAGAAGGATCGCAAGTTCAAGGCTAGCCTCAGCAATTTAGTAAGGCCCTGAGCAACTTAGTGAGACCCTATCTCAAAATTTTAAAAAATTGGAAGGCTGGAGATGTAGCTTAGTGGTAAAGTACCTCTGGATTCCATCCTCAGTACCACCAAAAAATAAATAAAACCTTCCCCAGTGGAGGTGCAGGCTCTTGCACTTCTATTAAGAGATTTTTCTACTAAGCAGCAAATTTTGTTGCTGGAATTCTAGATGAAATCACCTTTCTAGTTAGAGTACAGTATATTGTGGGTGTGGGTGTGTGTGTGAGAGAGAGAGAGTGTGTGCATGCACGCGCAAGTGCATGTGTGCATGTGTGAGCACACACGCATTTACCATGTGTTTTCATAAAGTATATTTCCATAGCACCTTGTATTTGTTCGGCCCAAGGACCTGTAAGTGGGCATTCAGGGAGCACAGTGGCTTTCTTACAATGCTTTATGTAAAGAACCTGGATGGTCTCTTCAGAGTCCATCCAGTGGACACAGCTTGGGGACCTAAGGGTTTGGTTCCCTCAACAGTTGTGTATTCATGGAGTGTCTTCTCTGAGCTAGATGGAAACCAGATTCTTGGAAATTTGGTTCATGGCTATACCATAGTCTTTTGGAGGACTACAGCAGTTATTTTATGTTTGCTGAGACTTAGTTCCTTCCTTTGCAGAGAAGTGAAGATGACTAAGTGATGTGCTTCTTTGAAATCAGAAGTGATAGGAGTAGCATAACCACTTAGCTCCAGAATCCAGAGAGCCTTAGAAATAAGAGTGGAAAAGAGTATATAAGAGTCTGCAAATACCAGAGGGGATCCAGGCTTCGCTTCCTGCTCAGATTTCATTCTGGAGGCTGGTCACTTGTTTTGAGTGCGGTCCACTACCCAAGTTTATGGGGTATTACATTTCCCAAGGGAGGCAGTGTTAGGCACTGAAGGTTGGGGACTGGGAATCAGACTGGCATATTGGCTTACTCCTTAGGCAAGTTCTTCGGTCTCTGTGCTTCTTACTTTGTCTGTGAAACAAATCCAGGCTCCAAAGGACAAGGGCAGGCTATTTGTGTTCATTTATCAATGTGTCCTCACATTCCTCACAGGCCTGTCATAGTATCTAATATATAACTATTATCCAGGTCACATTCTTATACCTTGTGTTGGGGGCTTGCGCTGAACAGGATTTTTATGCATTTTGATAACTAAGTTGCTTCACTAATCAACTATTATCCTTAAAACACATAAATATCTTGAATCATTCATTTCGTACTCTTCAGTTCAAGGGTAAATGGGACATTGACATTTCTATGTTATGTGTGTAGCATTCAATGTTATAGAAAACTGTATTATGGGAACTTAGCTGGACTTATGGGAAAGCAGAGGTTCTTTCTGTGAATTGTTGTTCATGGCCACTTTTTTATATAAGTCTTGAGTCAAGGTACCCTCTGCCCTGTTTTGCTTGTCTCCTTCTCCTCAGGTACAATTTCACAATGCTGGCACTGTCATCCTCATTCCTGGTGCTGTCCTATCTCCTGACCCGTTGGTGTGGCAGCGTGGGCTTCATCCTGGCCAACTGCTTTAACATGGGCATTCGGATCACACAGAGCCTTTGCTTCATCTATCGCTACTACCAAGAGAGCCCGCACAGGCCCCTGGCTGGCCTGCACCTGTCGCCAGTCCTTCTTGGGGCATTTGCCCTCAGTGGTGGTATTACTGGTATTTCAGAGGTGAGATCCCGCAGCCTCCACACCACATGCTTCTATAACTCTCCACTGGCCCCCCCCTTAGGTTTCCCCTTCCCCCTGCTTGAACTGACTGGACAATTATTTACCTCCTCTTATCCTTTCTGTAGGCGTCTGGAGCATCACCTTTTGCTAGACATGACAAAAAAATTACCAGTCGGAAGAGAGTAGATCCACAGCCCAGTTGACATACCTTTTATCTAATTTGGAAGCCAGAATAATAGTCACCTTTAGTCAACCGCCATCCTGGCCAGCAAAGATGGTGTGAACAGTTTGGGTGGGAAAATCCTCAGGGAGTTTAAATTAAAGACACGGACACCATTTTATCTTTAAACCAGCTCCAGGACAGCTCCTTGAACCCTCAGTCTCAAGCTTCTGAGGGAGGCAGCGAGGTTTTACTGAAGAGGCTAGCAAGAGAGAGAAAGAGAACCCTAGGGAGAGGGCTTTTGTTGGGGAACAAAGAATTCTGGGGAAATTCCCATCCAATGAAGGTCAGGTGCAATGATTGGATCTTTGGGGCAGTGGTGAGACCCACCTCAACACAGACAAGCTCTCCGACCTAAGAAGGGTGGGTAAAGCTCTGCCACATTAAAAGTGACTGAGCGCCTCACACCCAGCTGGGGAAGAAACTCATTCATGTGCAATGATGGTCTCCCACAGCCACTTTCCCTGGCTTGTCCCAGAGGAAGGGGGTACAGACCCAGGAACCAGGCAGTGACAGTGCTTTCCTTTCCCAGGTGTTCCTGTGCTGTGATCAGGGCTGGCCCGCTAGGCTGGCACACATCACTGTGGGGGCCATTTGCTTAGGACTGACTCTTGGGACAGCATTCCTCACAGAAGCTAAGCTGATCCACTTTCTCAGGACTCAGTTTGGAGTATCCAAAGTTGCTGACAAAATGACTTGACTTCAAGAGCGTCTTGATACCTGTGGCACCTGGATCCACTTGGGACAGTTCTTGGGTGCAATGTTACCATGTAAAAGCCCTGCCAAGGGGTCTGCAGTGTAGTGAGAACCACCCAGGACGTGAGACCATGGATGAAACACTCATCCACTTGAAGTCTTAAATGCAAAGGAGGAATTTTCATTTTTAAGTGGAAACCAAACAGCCTTTTTAAAATAGATGTACTTTTTTCATTATTTTGTTCTAATCAGTACTTTTGTTTTTAGGAATATATTTATTCCTATTGAGTGTGATTGACCTTTGTAGCTACATGCTCCAGCAAACTTTATCTTAGATGTTAGTAGTGAATAATGATCTGGCCAAGAAAAAGAGAGGCAGCTGTTTATCCCTTACAGGAATATTTAGATTCTTCCGTAAAATAAGGAAAAAACCAGATGCTGTGCACCAAACAAGAACGGAATGTGGCCTGGGAGTTGTGGCTTTCCACATGTCAACGCTGTGGTTGGAGTTTTTAGGGAAGGAAAAATGTTACTAAACAAAAAACTTCAAATGCAAATGTGAAGCTTTTGGGATCACATTTCCCCGTGTGTGTGAAGAATCTTGCCTATCATGCTTTTATTCCCCAGGCTAGCTTGTGCCTTACCCAGGAATTGTTGATTGGAGGGAGGGTAGAAGTTAGCTGAAGACTTCAGGTCTGACCACCTGAAAGAAGAGGGGCTTTGAAGGTTTGAAATTACTCCAGCACGAGCTACTTTTAGCAGTTTTCTGTAACTTTGCACATGGAAATTGATGACCAAAGTTGTGTAAATGTTTCTTTTTATCCTTAGAATAAAATAGGACAAACTCTATATGGCAAATATCACCAAGTCAAGCCCTTCTCACTGACCTGTTATTTCCAGCACTGCTCAGTACAACTGAATTCCAGCCCCAGGACAAGAGTGGTAGGCTTCAGGGAGTGAGCCTCCTGGCCACCACATGAACCCAGGCTCCCTGTGCCCTGTATATGCAGGTGAGATCGTCAAGCATTGTTCTGGGGTTGTAAAGTGTTTTTTTTTCTTTTATTTTAATATTTATTTTTTAGTTGTAGTTGGATACAATATCTTTAATTAATTAATTTATTTTTATGTGGTGCTGAGGATCCAGCCCAGAGCCTCACCCGTGCTAGGTGAACACTCTACCACTGAGCCACAACCCTAGCCCCAAGTGTTTTTCTTTTTTCATTAATGTATTAATTCCTTTTAGACATGATTTCTCTTTGGAAGTACATGCACAGACTATGTCTTCAATGTTAATAGTTAGTAATCCTCTGGCCTAATGTCTCCAGATCTTCCAAGTTTACCTCCAGAGAAAGGGCCAGTAAAGGCAGCTGGTATTGTTCATTGAAACACATGCATTTAAACCCACTTGCTTGGACTCAGTACCAAAAAGCTGAGGACCAAGACCCATCAGCCTACCAAGACTAGGGCCCAGTCACTTTGACACCTTTTTATCTGTTTCCCCTCTGAATTGAGACACCGAATGCAAGGTGTCTTAAGTAATAGAGGCCCTCCAAAAGCATGATCTTGGTAGGGTAGGATCAGGCTAAGTCAGAAAAAAGGGTTATCTCAAGTGCACAGAAATGGGCCTTCTGTTCACACAAACTCCTTCTCTTCTGCTGCTGACCATTCCACTGTCCCCTTCCCCAGAGTCCTGCCACTCACCATGCTCACTTGACAGACATAAAGCATAGTCTTCCAGCCATGTGCCTCAGAGTGTTCTGGATTACAGGTTAGAAATGTAGGTTCCCCATATGATCATCTCGATAGATGCAGAAAAAGCATTCAACAAAGTACAGCATCCCTTTATGTTCAAAACTCTAGAAAAACTAGGGATAACAGGATCATGCCTCAACATTGTAAAAGCAATCTATGATAAGCCACAGGCCAGCATCATTCTGAATGGAGAAAAATTGAAGACATTCCCTCTAAGATCTGGTACAAGACAGGGATGCCCTCTCT